GGTGGAGGAGGTTGCAGTGGGCTGAGATTGCGCCATTGCACTCCAGCTTGAGTGACAGAGCGGGACTCTTGTCTCAAAAAAAAGAGAGAAAGTATAAAATGGTATATCTGGATTGTCTTTAAGTTTTATTTCCAGTGACATTGAATATTGTTCTTTCTTTTTTTTTTTTTTTTAATACCGGGTCTTTCTTTGTCACCCAGGACTGGAGTGCTGTGGTGTGATCACTGTTCCTGGCAGCCTCTACCTCCTGGGCTCAAGTGATCCTCCCACCTCAGTCTCCCACGCCCGGCTAATTTTTGTATTTTTTGTAGAGATGGTGTTTGGCCATGTTGCCCAGGCTTATTTTTCCATTTGTTATGTTATTCTTCCATTTGTGTATAATATTCATATCCTTTTTTCATTTGTCTGCAACGGGAGTCTCTTTGAAGTACAGATCTCCATAGGTTGCAGATATGTATTCTGTCATAATTTTCGCAGCTGGAGATAACGTTTGTGTTTCCTTTTGTATTTTAATGCTACTTTTAATCATGGGGATTTTTTCGATTTGTTATCTGTTCAGGCTTGGTAGTCTTGTGCTTTGAATTGTTTTTTCCTGTTGCCTCAAAAGTTGAAGGAGGGTAAAATGAACTTGAAATACCCTGTTCTCTGGGTGTGGGTGTGTGTGTGCATGTACGTATGCCCTTTAAATGTCTAATTGTTATTTGCTTATTATTTAACTCCCCTCAGGTTGCTAACCAGTTGTCTCACCACTGTTAAACAATTCTCCCTTTGCCCCATTTTGAGAAGTTGGTGTTTTGATAAACGTGCCTTTTACCTGCCACACTGATGATTTATTTAGTATCATGTTCTTAGAGTTGAGACAGTCTGCAGTCTCAATTTTTTTTCTTTGTACACAAAGTAGCTTTTGGAGATTCTTCTCTGCTGGAATGGTACTTAACATTTGTGAAGAGTTTACTCATTTCTATTCTTTGGAAGATTCTTAGTCTTCTTGCGGGCATGTGTATGTGTTTAAGATAAATGATGATGGATGTTCATTGTGGATGGATCTGCTCATAGAGGGCTAGCTTCTGCCTTCCTCTGGTATGATGTGGTGTAGCAAATGAGGTGAGGTGCTAGGGACCGTGGTCACTTTGGGGATCATTTTGGGTCAGATCTGGGTTCTAGATTCAGCACTGCTGCCTTTATCAGCCTTCCTGCATTTTTTGTATACATGTGATAATAGCTCTCTCAGTGGCTCAGGAACACTCAGTCCTTTTTCCCTCGTTTGGGGTTCTGCAGCAGCTTCCACGCCACACCTGTTGTGCAGTTCCATCATTACCCCTCCACAGATAGAAGGCCACTGTACACTGGATGTGGCTTAGGCTGGAGTCCAAAATGAGTCTCCCATTTACCCTCCTCAGCTTAATCTCTGTGGAGACCAGGATCTGCCAGCCCCATGGAGGGTCAGGACCTGCTTTTCTACTCGCTGGCCAGTGGAGCAGAGAGGGACAGAGTGAGAGGTGCCTTCCCTCCCTGTCCCGAGCTTAGGTGAATGGGCAGGGTTGGGGAAGTGGGGGCGAAGGAAAACTGAAATTTTTCCTGCAACAGTTTCTTGCAATAGTTTCCTCTTCTGTGGGTTGAGGTTGGGGGAAAAGTGTCACTGGGATAGCCCCACCCCTAGGCCTCATGGAGTTATCCTGAGTTGTACAAAAAGGGCCAAATGTGATGTAAGGCTGTCAGTGCATGTGCTCTGGGTTGTAAGTGGCAGGTGCATCAGGATTCGTCGTCTGAGTGGAGCATACCTCTTCTTGGATGAGTGGGGGTTTCTTCCTAGTTATTCCGCAGTGTGGACCTGGCTAGTGTAGTGTCGTGTGTTGACAATACCAAGGAGGGAGCGAGGCCTTGGGGATTAGGTCGTGGCTGTGAGAGTCTCTGATGGGCATCGGGGTGTACCCCAGCATCTGAAGGCAGAATTGTTTCCTAGTTGGTCATGCATCTTGGGTGCAAGAAGGTGAAGCAGCAGATGGTGAGGGAAGCGAAGCATCCCACAGAGAATCTTTGCTCCAGAGCGCTGGCCTCTCTGCCACCTGCATTTCTATGAAGTGTTCCCTGTAGCCTTTCCGTGTTCTGCACACTTAATGGGTGTGAGCTGTAGGAGACCAGGGACCTTCAACGTTGAGAGTCCCTGTCACCACAGGACAGTCATTTTGCAAAGGCCTCGAGCAGGGGAGCAGAGGTGAGCTACCAACACTGGAAAGCAGACAGACGTGTTTCCTAATGAGCTGGTTTCTTTGTGGAGCTTTCGTCAAGGAGGAAGGGGGATGTTGGCTTTTCTTACTGCTTCTGGAGGGTTCTTTACAGGGTTGGGTTAAATGAGGTAAAAGGATCCCAAGGCATTCGATTCCATGCCTGACCAGCCCTCCCCAGTCCCTGAGGCCCAGCTCCCTGGAGGGCACAGCCTTCTACTTTTTAGGCTCCTCTGGGAACCACGAGGAAGAGGAGGAGAAGATTGTCTTTTCCATAAAAAGGAACAGGGTTTTTACCACTTAGAACATGTTTCTGCCTCATAGGGCATTTCCAGCTGAATTGACAGTTCTCGGTGATAAATGTACCTGAGTTTTAGGTCAAAAAATTTTTTCATCCTATATGCATTAATCTAGTCCTGGATTTATGGTTGGATAGCCCAACCCTCCCCTAAAGAGAGAGAGGAAAAAAAACAGTTTAAAAAGCCAAACCATTGTCTGGGTGTGTGGTGGCTGATGCAGATAATGTCAGCAATTTGGGAGGCCCTGGTGGGAAGATTGCTTGAGGCCAGGAGTTTGAGACTACCTTCGTCAACATAGCATAGTGAGGCTCTACCTACACAAAAAATTAACAAACCACCCCTGTGCTTTGGGATCCGGTAATCTGTGAAACATAAGCTGGTAAATGTTAGCTAAAGCTACCATTAAGTTAGTTGCCTACAAGGAGCCGCTCTTTCCAAGTTTGTGTGCTGCACCACAGGTCACAGGCCCATCTACCTTTGTAGGATCCCCAAGAGGAGTGCTACAGCCCTTGGTGCCTAAGCTGATACCTGATCTGCTGGGCATGGGTCTGGCAGCATGTCAGTATCACCAGGGCAACTCGTCAGAAATGCAGATTCAGGGCTCCAACGTGGACCTCCTTATCAGAACCTTGTGTTGGGAGCTGGGATCTGTATTTAGAATAAGTGGTTCTGATGCTGCCAGCCAGGCTCTTCATGCCAGTGACGTTAGGGGCAAGTCGCTAAGAGCCCTGCTTTAGATGAAGATGCTGAGACCCTGAGATAGGGACTTGCATGGGCTGAGGTCATGTTGCTGAAGGAAGGCGCCTGTGTCTATCTGAGAGCTCCTTCTCTTCCTGCAGCCACTCTATGTGGCCCAGACAGTGTTCAGGCCTCTTGTATGTTCTTGTGTCCTGCAGAGTCCTTGGGCAACAGGTAGTTGTGTCCACACTCATTCTTAGAGGTGAGTTTTATGGATGTGCTCTTCTGATGGTGGGGTGGTGGTAAGTGGGGAGGGGGGGATGGGGCAGCTGGGTAGCTGTCTGCCTGTCGTTCTCCCCTGCTGGTTTCTGAGGTCAGACAGGCCAGGCTCTCCCAGCCCTCCTGCGAAGAAGTAGCCGGTGGGTGAGTGGTGGTGTCCAGGCTGTGCCTGTCAATTCCACACCGTGGGAGAGGTAGAGTGGTCACAGGATCTGTTTCCAGAGGAGTATGGTTTCATGTCCCTTCTTGGCACTTCATCCTCAGAACATTGCAAACCAGCAACCAGCCTGCCTTGGCAGCCTCACAGGAAGGGGTTTTGCAAGTAGCCACTCCGTGGAAGCTGGTTTCTCACTGGCAGTGGGTCACCTCCTCACCTCCAGGGTGGCCTTGTCTACTTTTGCTTTGGGCTGTGTTACTTTCCTCACCTGGGAAGTGGGAGGTGAGCAGGGGGCTGGCATGGGACCACTGCCCCATAGACCTCTGATCCTGTTTCTACCTGTCCACTTGAGGCACTCCCTCCTTTCCCACTGTTCAGCCACTGCATTGGGGGCAGGGGACCATGGAGGACTTAGGGGTCCACCTGGATTGCCACTGGGGTTCAAAAAGGAAAGCAATAAAGGTAGGTCAGGCCCTCAGAAATAGCATCCTCCTGAGGTAGGACCTCTGAGGTTGCTTTGGAGGTTAGACACAGAGAAAAAACAGCAGCCCCACCCTTCACTGTGCAGTTCACAGGGTGTTCCCACCTAGGTGGTATAGTACAAGCTTTATGACAGCCCTGGAGGACAAAGCTGTGGCTGTGGTGGGTTGAGGTGGGAAGGCGGGTGGGGGAAGGTGGGAAGGAAGGTGAGGGAGGTAGGGGGAATGGCTGCTGGCTGCTGTGGGCTCCCTCACTTCTGTGAGGGCTGAGCTTCAGAGGTTCTCAGAAAATGTTGCATGAATGAGTATGGGGCCCTCATCTTGATGTTTCTTCACTGGGCACAGCTGGATCATGTCCAGGCCTGCCTGCATGTTCATCTCCCAAACATGACTCTTTGTGGTCAAGCCCCTGTTTCTTCTGTTGGCTCTGGTGGGTGGAAAGAACATGGGCTTTGGAGTCCCCTGTCCTTGGTTCCAGTCCTGGGCTGTCATTGCTCTCTTGCCCTTGGGCAAGTCATGTGACCTTTCTGAACTGTTTCCTCAACCATGAAGTAGAAAAAAATCAATTCCCAATGGAGAGGTGATGGGATCAATGTTTGGGAAGGCTCCAAGCAGAATTCCTGGTACTTAGAAGACACTTAAAAAGCATCTTTCTTCCTTCCTTCACAAATCTCCCTTATCCTTTCATTTGTGTTTTGGAGAGCCGATTTAACCTGAGTTTTGCATTATCTGTACCTGGCCTTGGTAGTAGACCTCTGCTTGGACCGGTAAAGGGACACGAGGGAGATGATTGGGAGCTTTCTGGAATCTGCATATGAGCAGGTTTGGGAGAGATGTTTTAATGCTGAGCCTGCCATCTCACCAATCACACATTTCTCCGCAGATTCTGCTTCTCAGAAGATGCACTATTATAGATACTCTAACGCCAAGGTCAGCTGCTGGTACAAGTACCTCCTTTTCAGCTACAACATCATCTTCTGGGTAAGTGGATGGGAGCGGCCACATTCCCTTGTTTAGTCCTTCATTCAGTAAATTATGGTTTTCCACACACTCTTAATTTGCCAGACACTATGGGAGGGTCTGGGATAAGGTGGTGGGCAGGGACAGTGAGCCCTGCCCTCACAGAACCAGTGGCAACCATGGGGACAGGAGAAGGCCAAAGGCCGAGGTGATTGAAAGCCGCAGTAAGGCCAACCCAGCCTTGGGGGTTCAGGAAGCCTTGGGGTCCTGGCCCAGATGCCTGTCTGTTTCCACCACCTGCCACTGCCTGTTCCGAGCCTGGGGAATGCCCCAATGAGATATCAGCAGCAAGGTACTTTGTGTGTGGGCCATGTCCTGTTTTAGGTTCTGGGAGTTGATAGCAGACAAGGGCAATAAAATCGTACCCTTGTAGTGCTTAGTGCGTTACCAAGAGCCATGTCAGCCTCCTGAGCAACAGAGCAGTGAGGGAGATGCTCCTTGGCTAGGGTGCACAGGGAAAGGCATTCTGTGGAGGTGACTTGTGGGCTGAAAGCTGGGTACTAACGAAGAGGTGGCCAAGCAGGGGTCTGGGGAAGAATGCTCCAGACAGAGAGAATGGCAGCTGCAAAGGACCAGAGGCAGGAATGAGCTTTGTGTGTGCAAAGGACAAACAGAAGGCCATGTGGCTGGAACTGAGTAAGTGGGAGAAGGGACACAGGTGGGAGGGACAGAGGTATGCAGGAGCCAGGTCACAGAGAGTCATACATGTCTCAATAAATAGTTGAAATTATTTTCTAATGCTTTAAAGCATTATTAGAAGGCTTGTAAGTTGGGTGGTATGATCTGATTTTGGAGTGACTGCAGAGTGAGGGGATGGATGGTGGTTTTGAGATAGGATTTGGGGTAGAAGGGTACGTTTAGTTATCTCATAGCCAGCCTCAGGGAGATACCATTTCCTTTGTCATTGACTGTCCTGAAGATGGAAGTCTTGGCCAACCACCATCAGAGGAAGCCTGGACCAGATGAGAGCATGGAAGATGGGTCTGTTGATTGAGAATATTGAGCCCTAGTATGCTAAAGGTTGGATCAAGGAAGAAAGCCCACTCCCAAGTTGGCTGAGGGTGAGTGGCCTGAGGTAAAAGGAAGACCAGGAGATTGTGTGTTATAGAAGCCTTTCAAGTGGAAAGGCACATTCAGTCATGGTGCAGGGAGGTGAAGAAGGATGAGGACAAGACATTGGTAATGGCTTAGACAAAGTGGAGGTTGTTGATGACCTTGAGGAGACCACTGTGTGCTCTGGGTAGGGGATCGGGGTGGGTGGATGGAAACCCACCTGGAGTTGGCTGAGGAGCCAATGGGAAGTAAGGAAGTGAAGTGGGTGACTCTTGACAGTTCTTCCAAGAATGCTTACCTTAAAGAAGGGAAGAAAAACTGGACTCTAGCTGGAGATGGTCAGTGGGTTAAGGGAGATACAGCATGTGTTTATTGCCAGTGGGATTGGCCCAGGGAGAGGCAGACATTGATTCTGTGCAGGAGGGCCTGGAGACATGATCATGCACGGAGGCTTTTAAAACCATTAAACATAGTTTATGAGTATCTGCGTGGGGCTAGGTGGAGTAAGGAGGACAGAATGAGTGACCATGACGTCACATTTTGCTTCTACTGCAGATTTGGCATTTTCTGGTGGACTGAAACTCTTGAAAACAAGGCAGACTTACTAAGCTTTCTCTGCTTTGCAAGCTTGATTTTACAGCCTCATCTCCTGGTGATTTATCTCTGTGTTTGGGGATTTTCTATCCCAGAGAAATAAGGTGGGATTCAATGGCTTGGTCTTTTAGCCTACGCCTTTTCCTGTGCTCAGATAACTTTGCACCAACAACCGCATCTTTGTCCCTGAAATAGGGCATTGCTGGGTATTTGATGTGGTGCCTCTGGGTCTCTCTTAATGCGGTGGTCTGTGCTCTATCCTCATGATGTGTGGCTTCTCAGAGCAGCATTGGTCCATGTCTGGTGAGCCCTCTGGCCTTACCTGGTGTTCCCCTCCACCATCCCGCACACCCAGCCAAGTGTATGGTGGAGGGTCGCTGGGCTAGGCAGGCATTCTGACACTTGGGCACTTGGACACCCAGACGCTCCCCTCTCTGGGTGTGCTGCTTGGCTTTGTGCCTCCACCTCCGCCTCTCATCTTGATTTCTGCAGCTAGAGCAACACTTTGCCACTACTGCCATGGCTGAGGGCCCTGATACCTTTGTTTCTTCAGAGGTTCTCAGGAGAGAGTTTTGGACATCAGGTAGCTCTACTGACTTGCCCAGTAACACATTTGCAGCACCATATTCCAGTTGTGGAGTACATGAATCCAGCTTGGTAGCAAGTCTGCTTGGTGGTTGAATTTGCTGCAGCGTTTTGGGGGTTTTGCAGATTTGGCAATGTGTGTTGAAAGTTAATTGTTTTTCAGTTAGTGTGCATTGTGGCAGAACAGGAAGGAACAAACAGGAGCAGTCAGGAAGACCAAGCATGAGAGAGGTTGGTTGGGAAATGAGAGTGGAAGGTGAAGCACCTTGCTTAGGGAGAAGCTGCTGGTCCCTCCCCACTAGGTTTCTGGTAGTGATGTGCAGTCTTCATCTGCCCTGAAGATGCCAACGTGGGGTACGGCCTGAGACTGGGGCATACTTCCCTCTGGGAATCTCACGGTGTGGCAGGAGGGTACAAGGCTGGCTCTGGACTCCCAGGGCCTCCCTGAGCTGAGTGACCTGGATTGGATAAGCCTTGGTGTTTTCCTTGTGAAAGAGCACTCTCAGCTGCCTAGTGTCTGCCTCGGGTTGCTGAAAATGTATAAAGTGGAATGCCCAAGCCCTTATCCCTTGAGGTAAGTTTTCTTTTTTTAAAAAATGGAGAAAATATAAAAGTAGGATAATTAAATGAACTCCATGTTCCCACCATCTAGCTTATTTGATTTGTATTCTCCCACCCCACACTTTGGATTATTTTGAAGCAAAGCCCAGGTAGATGTATTTTGTTTGATGAATTAACAGGGAGCAGTGGTGCAGAAGGATTGCACTTGCTGATGGTGGACACTGGGCTTAGCAGGCAGGTTTTTGGGCGGAAGGCAACTTGTTGCTTCTGTGACCAGTTCTAGGTGTTGGGACAATACGAGGTTTGATTAGTAGTTTGCCCGTACTTAGAATTATGTTCACAATAGCGTTCTTTGTAGATAAATACCCTTTGGTCACTAACAGATTTTTTAAGCTCTCTTTCTGACTTCAGTTTTCCCAGGGATTGTTAAAACCTGCTTGGGATGAGAAATGTAGACGCCACTGATGTTTGCATGTCTGTTCTGGACCTCTTGGTTTACAGAAGGAGAATGGAATGGGCTTCATGAAGTTCTTGTCACAAGGATGTTAGGGAAAATATGCTTCCATGCAATGTAGGTTTTTAAGAGCGCTAGCGTTTTTTACTTAAAAAAAAAATCATTCTTTGGTTGTGCTAGACCTGTTGTTAGTGCAAAATTTAAATGCAAATCAAAACCACAATGAGATACCACCTCACACCCATTGGGATGGCTATTGTTTTTTAAAATGGAAGATAGCAGATGTCAATGAGGATGTGGAGAAATTGAAACCTTTGTGCCATCTTAGTGAAAACGTGAAATGGTGCAATTGCTGTGGTAAACGGTATGGTAGTTCCACAAAAAGTTAAAAATAGAATTACCATATGATCCAACAATTCCACTTTTGGATATAATCAACAGAGCTGAAAGCAGGATGTAAAAGAGATATTTGTACACCCATGTGCACATTTATAGCAGGATTATTTACAGTTGCCAAAAGGTAGAAACAACCCAAGTATCCATCAGTGATTGAGTGGATAAACAATGTGATACATAGATATGAAAGAGCTTAAAAAGGAAGGCTGTTCTGTCACATGCTACACCGTGGGTAAACCATGCTGAGTGAGAGAAGCTAGACACAAAAAGACAAATACTGTATGATTCCACTTATATGAGATACTCAGAGTAGTCAGAATCATAGGGACAGAAGTAGAATGCTGGTTGCTAGGGGCCGGTGAAGGGCACATTGGGGAGTTGTAGTTAATGGGTACAGAAGATCTCACTTTGACATGCAGAGGAAAGGAAGCTGGGAGATGCGTACAATGGAGGAGTGGCATTTGGCCCTTTGTCTTTGTTCATTTATACCCCCCACTGGTTCCACAAAACATTTGAGCTTTTTCTGGGTTTGCCGAGTGAATCCTCTAGAGGGATGATTCAGACGATGTCTGCAACTCCAGGGTTGCTTTCCCACACAAGCATTGGCTTTAATCTGCATGCAAAGGTTGGATAAAGTCCTTGCCTGGATCTGCTTCAGAGATGGATTAAAAGTGAAGAACTGAGACCCCTTCTAAGTAGGCTGTAGGCCTGTGTTACACAGGAGAGTCCTCTACTTGTTCTTTAAAAAAAAAATTTTTTTTAAGTGACACTACAGCATTGGCTTTCTCAGTGACTTGGGTACATCTGAGCCTACCCTTGTATAATGTGTGAATTTGCCACTGTGCAGCCTGTTTCTGAGTGAGATGAGAACCATGGACATTTGTGCTCTGTGACCAGTGTGGCTTGAGGCCTCTTCCTTCAAGGTCACAGATGCCTCCTGTGAGTAGGGTGAAAATGTAATCTAGGTTCAAATCAGGAAACTTTTGATAGTAAGAGAGAGTTTATTGAGAATTTTACCAGAACAACAGGTGTACCCCAGGCCTGTCCTGTGTAAAACTGGGCATGTGGCCTCCCTGCCCAAGAGAGGGAAGACAAGCCCAACCAAGGTGGAAAGATCTTCCCCTACCCCTGTGTATGGTGTCTTTGCAGGTGGGGTCTTATTCTTTTCATCTGACCTTTATTATGGTCCTCTTTATAGAGGACTTACCACCTCCTAGGATAGTCTGCTGTTCGTGGGCTTTTCTGACCGATGGAGAATTGCCCTTATTTGACTTGAACTCTGTGTCTGTAATATCAGACCCCTAGCCCTGATCCCTGG